AGTGGTGTAGAAATCTCACATTTGTGATGTATCATAACAGAGAAAATGGAATGCACTGAAAGGAGGAATCCCAGGAACATGAGTTTTCTTGCTGAGATCTATAAAGGTTAATATTTCCAGTTACAACTTTTCCCATCATTGCACTAATGGACTTGGCATCCTGCACACGTTTTTCCAACAGGTCTTTTGGTGATAACAAGCTCAAAATCAGTGATTAAAGCCTTGGGATGCATGCAGGTATTGCTAATAATGAATATTGCTTGGTGGAAAGCAATATTCTGCACATTTCACATGTCAATTTTACTAAAAGGAGTACAAGTCTAACGCAGGAGGCTGAGAAATGAACAGAGGGCGATGAATGACACTCATGTTTTTCACTGGGAGCTGCTTGGCAGTGTTTTCATTTTGCTTGCATGGAGTTTTGGAGCCTGTCTCATAGCATGTGGCATATTAGGCACAATAAAGATGTTCATTTGGCAGCTGGAGCATGACTAGGAACATCAAAAGAGTCATAGATGCCTGAATAAATGAAGAACTCCACCTTGATATAAATATTAGATTGCTGTTTTAATTGCCCATTGAATTCTTGTCAATGAAACATTCACTTGTCATGCCTGGTGCAGCATTACTAATGTTTTATTTTGGGGCTAGGGCTGAACTGTTGCTGTTATTCATTTTTTGCACTTTTGTAGCACCCTGAGCACCAAACATGAATCATTTTGTTGCAAGTGCTGTACAGTCACAGGGTGAACAAGCGCCCTTTGCTCAGAAGAGTTTAAAATCCAGTTAAACTCCTAAAGCTCTAACACAGAGTGAGTGTGCAGGAGAACAAGGGAAGTGTTGGGGTGTGTGGCCCCTCTCACCAGGCTGCCACCCACCCAACCTGTTCTAATGCATGTGGGCAGTGGGAATAATGTCAATTATCCATCTCAGGGCTTTCCTCACACCTCATCTCTGTGACAAATGCATGAACACCACAAACATCATCACACAGACCATATGTTATCAGGGCTGCCAAGCAGCAAAGTGTTGGATATTCAAAGAGCACCCTTGCAGCTCAGGCTGACACTTTCCACAGCTGATATCCACAACTTCTGTCTCATTTCTTGTTACACTGGTTGGTACCTGGGGGACAAAAGGAGTAATTAATTAATTAATCACACTTTATAGTTTTTACATGGAGATTTCTACACTGGCTTTATGTACAAAGGAAGATCCTTCCACCAGAGAATAAGAACTAAAAATCCTATTTCCCTTGTATTTAACAGGCATTAACAATGTGCAGGTTTGGTTAAGAGATAGATGTAATGCCATGGATGGGAAGTCTGAGGAAGCTGAAACTCCTGAGTGCCTGGCAGGGAAGGTCAGCGTGGTCAGTGCCAGGCCCAGCTCCTCAGGCTCCTGGAGCTTGCTATGGGCAACTCAAGTGTGGTAAATTTGGGGTATTTGCCCTTCCCCAGTAGCCACATGAGTTTAAGGCAGCAAACATTCCCTGTGAGGGAATCCCTGTGTTCCCTGCTCAGCCCAGTCCAGGAGACATCATCATCCTGACAAGGTCCACGTTTGATCCCGAGCTCAGACCAGGGATTTTATCTAAGGCTCCAGTTCCCTTCAACTCTCTCAACAATTGGTTTCACTTTCGTCCCTGTTGGCCCTTAGACCAAATTATCTTCAGTGTTCTCTATCCTTCTAATTCTCTCCACATATCATACTTTTCAGAGCCTTTTCATTTTCTTTCCTTCTCCTTGCTCTTAACCTCACCAAATACTCTTGTTTCTGTGGTAGGACTGGGAATTGAAAACATCAGTGCTTTTGGATGAGATATGGTGAAAAAACCCCAATTTCCTACTTTCAAACAACTCTGCCTCGGCATTTTTTGGAAAAAGTTGCAGGGTTTCATAAAGCAAGATGAACAGACAGCAAAATATAAAAGGTTTAAGAGTGCCAAGTTCATACTTCCAAGGGAATATAGAATAGATTCAAGCACTTATCCTGATTCCACGTGCCAAATCTGCATGTGGTCTTTGAATTTCCCCAGAGCATGCAGATGGCAGCAATGCAGGAATCCCAGAGTTTGTGAACACTGAGCAGAGGTGGGAGCAGAGCATTCCCTGCTTTAGAAACACAACACAGTTTGGCCTTTTCTTGAAAGGGACCTGTAGTGTTTGGCTGGGTGATGCTGCAGCTCTGAACAATGACATTTAGTTTTAACAGATTACTTTATTTAAGTTTTCTTTGGCTTTTAATTTTTTTAGCTTTTTATTCCTGATATAATTTCTCAGAGGCTAATGCTACATTTTTCCAGTTGTGAGCTATTAATAGTAAATCAGCAGGAGCTTTTGAGTTTGTGAAAAGCACATATTGATTCAGAGAATCACAGACTGTCCTGGATTGGAAGTGACCCTAAAGGGCATGCAGTTCCAAACCCTCTGCATTGGGAAGGGATGCCACCAAGAGAACAAGTTCCTAAACCTTGTTTCATTCTTAAAAAAATGATTTCGTTTTTTGGTGTTTTGTTAGGGAATTAAAAAATAGTAGACTTGGAATTCACAGAGGCTGCAATCTAAGAAGTATCTATGCAGTGGTTTGTACAGAGAATTTCAACTTCCCATGCTTGTAATGAAAAGAAAATTTTGCATTTTTGTTGGTTGGTAACTTTAGGAAATTGAAGTGAGTCTGTTAAAACACCTGTCATAAACCCACCATTAACTGCAAAAGGTGATTTTTCACCAGGGAAGCCTTGCTAAGGGAACTGTGGGCACAGACCCTTCCTGGAAGCAGTTCCCAGCCTTGGAGTGTGGGCACCAGCACACCCTGAGCACTCTAAAATTGCTTTGAGCTGCTGCTGCTCCCAAATCCAGTGGTTTTCCCTCCTGCTTCTACTTCAGCACAAGACTTTGCAGGCAGGATCTGCCCCATGAGAGCCTGATGGGTTTGTCTGGAGAGACTGCAGTGTCTGAGGGAGAAAGAGTTTTTATTTCTTTTCTATTTGCAATCCCTCTTGCTTTCAGCAAAATTCAATGAAACAGCAAATGAGCTGATGATTTTCTGGTTTTCTGTCCCACTGTGAATCCAAGGATCGTTCTCTTGCCCTAAAGTAAAATGGAGGAAATGGGAGAAGTTTTTAGTTAAAAACATGTTATTGAGCTTAAACCTTGTGCAGCAGCAGATCCTTCAGCTGCTGGGGGAGTTTTCTGCCAGAGAATATGGTGTGTGTCAGTGTTGGGACTCCCCTCAGGAAGAGGATTGTCTGGTGTGAATTCACAGGGTCATGGCTTCATGGGGTGGTTTTAATTTTGTCTTGTTCTCAGCATCCACGTCTATTTTAATTGGCAATTATATTAATTTTCCCGAAGTAATTTCTGTTTGGCCAGCGATGGTAATTAGTAAGTGACCTCTGCCTTTATCTTTTCCATCTTTCTCCCCAGTTCTGCTGAGGTGAGAGAGTGAGAGGTGGCTGGGTGGGAGGCTGGGAGCAGCCCAAGGCCAACCCTCCACTCTTGCTTTGGTCAATAGTGCCCCACATCTCTTTTTGTGCCTTACTCTGTTGGAATGCTTGAGATTTTGGGATTGATTAGCTTTTAATCTAACCCATCTCATCAATATTCATCATAAAATGAAGCTGTAAATCCTGGAACCAGCAATGGTTCTTTTTCCCAGAGGTGTTCTGCTTTGGGATTGAGTCCCAGTGAATGCCCAGACAGGAAGGAGGTCCACAAGCTCCTCTGGCAGCCTTCATGTTGGTCTGCCTGGAGAGAGATACAAAATTGGATGAAGAGGATTTCTGTGTGACTTCCCACCCACTATGAGACTTTTCCTGTGCTTTAGGATTGTTATAGAGATTACACAGTCAAGAAGAGTTTAGGGATTGGCCATAAGAGACTCTGGGATTGTTTCTCTTCCTTTAAAAACAATAAACCTGTACAGTGAATTTAAACAATTATGCCAAGTGGTTTATTTCGTAGTAAAACTCCATTGTTGTTGATTTTATGTAGCTGGTATCACTCTCTGTAGTTTTTTTCTGAAATTGTAATGCAGTTTTTAAAGATCCAGTGGAAGTGAAATGTAAAAAATAGTGATAACATACAGGAAAGTGAAAAGTCTGCAGTAGCAGTAACTCAAGGAGAAGGTAGGGAATACAAGACTGGTTGTCTGCAGAAAAACCTTTCACATGCAATGGTATTGTTCAGAGATGTCAAAACCTGAAACATTCATTTAGCAATTGCAAATTTGTGGTGAAGATCTCTTACTCATGTAGCTGGTAGTTAAATCACTAATATTTTATCCAGTATTTTCTGCAAAATGACTCAGAGAAGAAATATGAGACAAAGTGTCACATCTTTGTGCTTTAGGGATATTTTCCTCCTTATGCCAGCTTTCCTAAATATTTTAAACTTTCCATGTAAAGTGAAACAGGATTATTGACAACTACTGTTCCATTAGCATTTCTCACAATCCTTAGATACAGTACAGCTCATGAACTGTGTGACAATCCTGGTAGTAAGAAACATTCTAGTTCCTTTTTTCAGTTTTATAAAACTTTTGCAGTAGCCTGGGGCTGAATATTCTGTAAACAGTGCTGAGCCTAAAGATGCACTGAATATCTGAAAACACTTTGCCACAGAAGAGCATGTAGAGGTGCTGGGCTGTGAAGAGGAGCACAACAAGGTCTCTACTGCCACTGCTCAGTTTGTGGAGCTGGGTGTGCATTTGATTGGAGTGATCACAAAAGGCTCATGTCCAAAGTGTTTTGTCTATCTGCTACCCAGTTAGACTGGTCAAAGCCTCTTCATCCTTCTGAAAGTACATGTTCATAGATTTGTTTATGAGGGAAAGTCAGACAAATATAGAATTTCTTTGAAAGTTTTGTTTCTTTGAGAGACATTTCTTCCCAAATCTGTAGAAAAGTTAATAACATATAAATATCTGAAGCTTGTGTTCTGGAGTGGATACTTATAATGTGTTTTTTCCTTTTTTTCCTTTCTTTTCCCCACCCCCAGTGAAATTTGATGACTGCAATGGGAACAACAAACTGAATTTTGAAGTTTCTAACCCAGATTTTACAGTGGAACTTGATGGGAATTTGGTTGCACTCAAGAATGTATCAGAAGTTGGCAAAGCCTTGTTTGTCCACGCGCGGTCAGAGCACGCCGAGGATATGGCAGAAATCTTTATTCTTGAAGCAAATGAAAAACGTGGTGCATTAAAGGTAAGATAAATAGCAAAGATTAAAAAAAGAAAAAGGGCCAAGGAGATGCTGCTGCTAAATATTTACATGTGTCACCTAGGATTGTAGGCAATTTTAATCTGTTAGCAGAGATCAAAATCAGTCTTCAATGCAGATATTGCTGTAGCATTTTAGCACTTGGTTTAATTTGTGATGCAGATTCCCCGAGTTTTGGAAGATGTATTACATCTTCAGGTGTGGATGCTAAACATTCATAAAGAGTTTATTCAAATGAAAGAGCCCGAGTATTAAAATTGGCTGCTTCTTCCAGTGTATGCTATGCCAGGTAATCACAGTTTGGCCACAACTAAAAATGGAAAGTCATAGTTTAAATGTGTAATTTAGAATTTACAGAACCTTCACGTTTCACTCCAAGTCTAAGTATGAGGGAATTAATTCTGTGTAATTTAAATTTTCTTATTGGTCTGCTTATCTGACATTGTAAATGCTTAAACATCTGCACACAAACAGCAGCACACATTTACACTCTGGCTCTATGCCCTGGTGATTTTTTGTTCTGCTCTGTCCACTGAATGTTTTGTCCTTTCTTTCCCCGTCCTGAATTTCAGTGTAAAACAAACCTCAATCTTATGGGGCATAAAGCAGTTTAGAAATTGATTGAATTGTTTACTTCACACCCCTGCGAGTAACAAAAGGAGATGTGAGATAGCCTTCACTTCTGTGTCCTGGCATTTAGGAGAGAGGCAGGCAAGGTAGTGGCTCACTAGACAATTAAGCCTGGTACCTTTACAGACCTATAATTCCACAGAAGTATAAAGAAACTTTGATAAAAATGACTGATCTACTGTCTCGATTTGGTATTTAGACATTCAATTGCCAGCATTCTCATTATATTCCCAACAATATATTAGTATAACTTAAGTCTTCCATTATAAAAACAAATTATCTTGAGGAGAAAGGTTGAACAACCTTCTGAAAGTCCATGGCTGAGGAAAGGTTTTGCTCTGCACTTTAAGCAGCACACGATGTGAATATGGATTGCCAGCGGGAGAGAAAGAACCAGAATGTGTAACTGCAGAAAGCTGATCAGAACACTGAAATGGAATTTAATTTTATTTAAATATGATGCTTCTTCACAAAATTAAATTTTAACACAGTCATACTTGAGGGAGTCTCTTACATGGAGGAGCTGTGAGTTTAGGACCACAGACTGCCAAATTCAGAGTAGGAAAGCTACATTTGAAGGAGCAAGTTGGGCACTTGGCTGTCCTGTGCCTCAGGCTAGCAAGTCTTGCTCCTTCTGGTACATTCACAAGAACGTTCAAATGGTTTTATTTGGAAATCTTAGGAGCAGTTTCAAAATGGGGATCATCATTCTCTGGTTAGAAGTTACTAAAACCACTGAGGAGTTTGAGACATCTCTGACAGGAGGTCTGGAGTTAAATTTCAAGGGATTGGTTTATGTGTGAAGATCTGACTCTGAGAATCACATTCTGAAGATTTATTCTGGTTTTCTTAGAGAAGGAGCCTTTCAATATCTGTGAGGAGAGATATTCTATGAAGCTACACTGTGAGGGAAATCTTGTCAGATATTCTATGGAAGGTACAGTCTAGGGAAAATCTTGTCTCATGAGTAGGAGTCGTGTATTTGCACAGACTATGACAAGCTCTGCCAGTGACCTTTTCTCTTTACATCCTGTTGGGGTTCTGGGGAGTGTCCCCTCAGAATGTTCCAGCAATATTAATTGATGCCTGGTGTTGAAATCTCTCTCCAGACTACATTTGAAAGCCAGGGCTCATTTGGCCCCACTCCTGGACTCTGTTCCAACCTCTTTGTGTTGCTTCAGAGAGAAAAAAACAGTTTAAATCAGGCATATTCTGCCACTTGCCAGCCTTTCCTCACAGGTGACAATATCAGAACATCATCTCAGCCTGCATTCATCACCTCTTTCTGCATTTTGATGTTCAGCCCATAATCAGATGACTACCCATTTAATGTGGGATTTAGTGTCTGCAATGCCATTGTTACACGAGTTACACGATGCCTTCATGTGTCCTGGGAAATCCATCTAGTGAGAAGCACCCCTTCTTCAAGGGAATATAAAAATCTCTGGGGCTGGCTGTCCTGCTCTGGCCTCCCCTAGTCCTCTGTAGCTGTTAAACCAGTATTTCTTCCCAATCTTTTCATCTATTTGCCTATTTCAAACACCACACAGACAGTGTTGTCTTTCTGTTTGTCATACTTGAGAAGGATATAAAGACTACAGCGTCCCATCTAAAGTGATTTTATGATAAATTTGAACTTAATCCTGTACTTTTGCAGTCTAAATGTGTCAGCACGGAAACAGCAGAACTGCTCCATCTGTTTATGCACGGAACCTTGGCTAAGAAATGCTCAGATGGAACCTTAGTAATTCAGCATAATTCTGCGGGGTTAAGATGAGCACATGCTGGAGCACTGCTTAGCATTCAGTACTTAGAGAACAGTACCTTGTCTAATTAGGGGATAAGTAGTTCTTAAGTATTTCCCCACTGCCAGCAACTGCCATTTCTTTTCTGAAAGCATGTAACCTACATCTGTGAAATCCCATTGTTAATGTTGCTAATTGCAGATTCCCAACATGTTTGGGAATGGCTCTCAACAATGATCTCTGATGTGCTGACTGGCAGTTGGAGCCTAGGAACGGAGTGTAGCTCCTAAAACTTTCTGATTGCTACCAACCATACTTTGGATGAATATGGAAATTATTTAGAGGTGCAATCTGGAGTGTGCAGAAAAGCTTTTGGTATTCTGCTGGTGAAGGGGTACAGTTCTTTCCTGCTAAAGACGGGAGATGATTCCAGCTGGCCTCACCGATCTGTCCTATGTGATTAAATTAAATTAACTTCATGGTCAGAGAATAATCAGTGGCTGTTGGACTATCACTTACTATTTAATTGTTACTTGCATCTGAAGGGCCTGTGTTCCTCCTCTTCTGCCAGAAGCATAATAGATCTGCAGAGCCTGCAGCTTTCCATGCATATATAGCTGTGGCTATAATATGGGCAGAGGTGGCTCCTCACTCACCAGATGGCCACGGCTCTCTGATCACACCATCTCCTGCAGGAGCAGATACTGCACTGCTGCTTTTCCTGATGTCTAACATACCCTCAACCCCATCAATCTCTACCTACAGATATTAATACATGCACAAATCTGTCCATCAAATTCGAGATCAAATTCCAGATCAAATTCCAGCTGGAATTGCTTTCTGCAGCCCGCTGGATGTGCCTTCTCCCTCCTATAGTTTTGGATAGATGTACTGGTCTCTGTCTTGACAGAGGGGAATATTCTCAAAAATCTTCTGTCCTTTCTGAGAGTCTTTTGAATGTGAGTGCACAGAAGAGCCTGTGGAAGATGTTAATAGTTAACTCTTTAATAGTTATGTGCCTCTACACACTCGGAGCCTGATGCAATCAGTGCTCTGTGAAAAAAAAAAAAATCCACATGCATTGCCTATGGAGCAGTGCTGGTGAGCAATGGGACATTCCCCATGGAGCAGTGTTGGGATTTGCCCTTCTCTGCCTGTGCCCTGCTCTGCCCAGTGTCTGCTTGATGCCCTCTCACACTGTCAGGACTGGAGTGCTTGGGAATATTAAGAAAAAAGAGACCTGGAAATGTTTTGATTCACCCAGTATTCCCCAGATGAACTTTGGATTCATTCTGAATAATTCAGAAAATTGTTAAGCCTCAAATCCCTAATGGAAAAATAAATCACTCATAAACCCTAGTTGGGGAGAAAGTGGCCAAGCCAATGACTGGCAGCATTTTCTCTATTTTTTTTTTTTTTAAACTTGTGTCTTGTCCAATGCTTGATCCCTGCTTTGTTTTATGGAGAAAGTAGGACAACTGAAAGTTGGAAATTTCATCTCATCTGAACACTTGTCCAAACATTAGTGGATTTATGTATTTATTGAGAGAGTCAGGTTTTGTGGAAGGCAGAAAGTGTAGCCAGGCTTTTGTAGAGCCTCATAATAAATGGTGAGTTACAAAAGGTGGCAAGCTGGGCCTTGAACTGTGTCCTCCAAGGCTAAATAAAATGGTGTCTGCTGGTCCTGCTCCCCCTCTGAAATCTAATGCTGGTTTTAATGAACATACCCTCAGTATACTGGGAGCTAAAAGGAAACCTTGGGACACAATCTGTCTCTGCCTCTCTGTGTTGGCAGCCTTTATTTTTTTTCCTTCCCCACAGCAAAGGGAGTTATTTAGAACTTTTATTTGTTACAGACACAGGGTGAGGGGTGGAGGGGAGTGAGATATCAAGAGTCTGGCACCAAAGCAGATAAGAGGGCAGGCAGATATTCAGAAATTCCAGGCTGGTAGTAACTTCACTGCATGGTGCTTAGCAGTCATCCATACAGAAGGATGAAATGATTAAATAGAAACTGTCAAACCCTCAGGACATATTTCAGGCACTAGATAGAAAAGGAACAGGAGAAAGAAAAGAAGAGATAAGAGTGAGGAGCACACCCTGAGACAGCATGTTGTAGACAAAGTTTAAAGCCATCTCCAGCAGCAGCTCAGACTGAAGGAAATGAAGTTGCCCCAGTCCTGCTACTTTGTCCAGTGCACTTTGTACCAGCCAGGGGCTGGGCAGAAGCTGCTGCTTTTTTTCCCCCTTTGTCAAAGCACTGCTTTTCCCAGCACCAGCACTCAGCTGTGTTTGTTACAGCAGTTACAGAGCCTCAGCAGCCTGGCTGAAAACTTCCTCACAGACTTGAATTCTTATTCCTACCAAGTCTCTGCCTGCATGGATACCTTTTGTGCAAGCTGCTTTCTGCCTGTGCATGTTTCCTAAAGTATCAAAGAGAAATAATGAAACTAAGCTCCTTGGATTTAAACCTTAGTATTTCTTGTTTGTGTCTTGCTCTCTGCTTATCCCCCACAGGATAGAGATTGCAAATATTATGGATATGAGATAAAAAGTGCCTAGAGCCTTAAATCCTACATGTATGGCTTTCTGCCTTAGAACAGATGATAA